AAGTTGGTCCTCGAAATACTGTTGTTTGTGAGAAGTCGGATCGTTCTCTACTCTTCAATTCAGAAAAAGGCCTGTAACATAACATAATGGAAATTTCCTTCACCTTTGCCATGATGTGGGATTTTATAACTAAATTCTCAAAGCTCTTGGTATTGAGAGCCTTATCCAGCGAGTTCAGAATTTGCAATCTTTAACTCCCACAAGCTGACTCTGTGTGTGAGCAACTATGCCTCCACAGGGATTACGGGTGGTTCTGATGTTCTGATAAATTTTCTGAATCCTCCAAAAGGAACAATTAGACCTCTTCTCCCATCACTGTTTTATAACTAATCTCTCTGGTGGTTGCCCTTTGTCCGTGCTCCAGGGGTGACACGGACACAATTAATAGATTTGGCATTATTCAATGAGCAGTAAGCAGTCCTGCACAACAAACATCACTAAATGTCTGCAGCAGTGCCGATAGCCTACAGATATTTTTCTTCCAGTAACACAGAAGCCTTCTGCAGCACTGCCTTTAGGAACCACATATAAAGCACGTGTGACTGACTGTGGAAAGAGAAAAGACCATGTGACCAGCTAAAGGCTTCCCTTTAGGTTGGTGTTGGATCAAGTTGCTCATTACTTGCAGTGTGGATTGGCACAGAACTAATCTGTTTTAACACAAGGTGTTTTTTNCTTTAACTTCATAAACCACAATTCACACGCATTTCACAAGATTACCAAAAGATTATTAGGGTTTTTTTTTTACATAGACCTCACCCACCCTGCTCCTTAAAGCTTGCATTTCTGAGGGCTGTTTCAGTGATAGTTTGCAGAACTTTGGCCTGGTTTCCATCAGTGACGGGGTAACCTTCAGTAGAATTCTGTTCTTTGCTGTATTTTAAAAGACTTGATACCGTATTCAGGCACCAAAAGAATTGTGTTGGTTCCATGGGCTTCAGAGCAACACTGCGCCTCTAATGGTTTTATTCTTTCCCTGCAAATCTCCAGTTTGCTGCTCCTTTAGGAAGATTGTGAAGGTGCATGCACTCAATCCCACTTGTTTGCTGTGTGCAAATTGCCTGCCATGTTCGTCTACAAACAATCACTACACTTCTTAGTAAAATCCTATGAGAAGTCTTGATAGTCGGATAAGGCCTATACCAAATACAAAGATTGTTGTTGTTGTTTTGTAATTGAGGCACAGAGAGAAAAAGCCTTGCTCCTGTCAAGACCAGTTATTCCTCTGGCTTCGCCCTGCACTACCTCTGTGTGCTCCTCTAATCCTACTGGCCTGGCCGCTCCCTTCGCACAGTAAGCTTCATGTCCCCTGCCTCACCATCAATAAGCGAAGAGAAGGGAATTTCTCTCTCCCAGTGTCCTGACCAATAATCCACCAAATAAAATTGGTGACTCACTTCATGGTTGTTTGTGGAACATGCTTTGGGTACATTGGCTGCAAATTCAAGTTGCTACTCTACAGTACATCCTGTGAAATACTTTGAGATGTCCTCCTGACTTGAAAGGCGCTAAATCAAATGCGAAGATTGTTATTTTTTAAGTAGTGTAATGGTGGTGTGTCGGTGGAATGATTGCCGTGACATCCTGTTTGAAGTGGTTGCCCTGCCCTTACCTCGTTCTGTTCCTGTTTATGAAATAAGGATTTGCTGTGAAGTTCATGTTAGGAATTTATTCTAAGAAACTAGCTGAGCTGGCGGGCTACTTACTGATGGACAGGAGCCCCGTGTGCAATTGAGTTGGCTTTGTTTTCTTGGCCAGCCGTCCGGTATTCCTTTCATATCTGGATAAATCTTTCGAGAAATTGGTTCAGTAAGTTGGCAGAATTGTGTCCAGGTATTGAATGGCATTTGAGCGAATTTAGATGAAATGGCCCCTTCCTGTCACCATCACACGCGGGCAGCTGGAGGCCATTGGCTGATCGAAGAGATTCCTATCTATGAGATGCAGAATTTTAGTGATTATGAGAGTAATAAGAGGCAGTGGGTGATGTGATGCTTCAGTCTGTTCTTACTTAATCAAATTTATTTTAATGTTCCTCTCAATATATCTATTCTTACTTTTTCTGCATCTTTTATCCACTCAGCTCCTTTTAAAACCCTGCAAGCCAAAGCACTAGTGGATAGGGTGGTTCCCACTGGACAGGCAGCAGGAAGCTTGCCAGACGATGTCTGAATAGCAATCTATGTGGTGTTTAACTGGTTAAAATCCAGCAGTACCCCCAACACACCCTCTGAAGTCCCTAAGCTTTGGCTCTTGCCAACCTGCGCCTAATGCTCTGGATTTCAGTAAGCAGATTGCTTTCCTCTGGGGAGAGTGTGTACATTCCATTTCAGACACATGGAGTTTTCCATGTGTGGGTGGCATGCATATGTGGAACGCTGTCTGGCTTGGATATTCTTCAGCCCGGTGATGGGTGTCCAGATGTGTCAGCCACCCGGCTGACGGGGGGAAAAAAAATTAGACTCCTTAACTCTGTGCTCTCTGTACGTATCAGCTATCTGCTCTACACAAAATACAAACCCTTGTGAATTGTTTTTTTAAAAAATACTTAAAATGTTTAACCTCAAAATGCCCCTCCCTAGTGGCCTCCGGGGCACTCCACGTTCCACTGGCAAAGCCTCTCAGCAATAAGGAAACCGGACACGTGTCACTGTCAGCACTAGAGGCTCAGAAAATATCTGCTTCGGATTTTGGGGTGCGGTGGGATTTGCTGAAGTGGTACAAATAGTCCCCCTGTTTAAAAAGCAAAAGATTCTGCAAGCACACACAACAGACTACACACAAAAACACACGCAAAGTAAAGCAAATATGTGCAAACTGCAAAAAGTAGTAACTCTACTCTAGTTTTGTCATGTTCTGCTAATTTCTTCTCCCAAATATGCTCTTTGACAATCATTGTTTTATGGGGTGGGGGGTCGAGGGACACTTCATTCTCACAGCCTGAACGTCTGAGAAATACATTTTTTGATTTCTTAAGTCAGTTGTTGATTGCCCCATCGGCGGACGTCAGGGCTGCCAGCTGAAGAACAATTGAATAGTCTTATTAGTTTATAGAGAGAGGAGACGCGCTGGTAAATGATCTAGTGCTAATTAGAAAGGCACAACATCCTGCCATGTGTTGGCCCTCTCCGCCTTTGTTTCCTGACCCACTATTCAGCCTGCTGACTTTTGTTTCAAGTTTTCCCAACTGTACGTCTCAGTCCTAAAGAGGCTATGTCTGGGTTTGTGAGAATGTACAATAAGTTTATTCATCTCCTTTTGATTTGACCATTTGTCTGCTAACCTCATACAAGACATGTTTAAAGGCCGTTTTACATTGTCAATGTGTTGGCGATTAAAGTAATATTAGTCACTTTTTTTCTCTCCATCTCACACACCCACACACACACATTCACACCCTCTCCCTCTTTCCTCCCCCCTCTCTCTTCTTCCCTGTCCCTCTTTCCTGTGAGTGTTGCAGATTCCTGGTACATTGCTTTAACTTTCGGCTCTCTGTACCTGAAAACATCTGACCCTGGTTGGTGATGCTATCTGCCCAGTGGTAGATCATTGTGCTTATAACAGTGCTGGGACTGTCTCCCTGTTGTTGGAGTGCTCAGGCCTGTGTGCTCCTCTCCAAACTAATGTGGCAAATAACAGTTTTAAATAGACTTATTTGTGCAATTTCATGACCTGACCTGATTTCACTCCTGTGGTAATGTAGTTTCAATATGCTCTGTGCATTATAAGCACCTTTGTGTGAAGGAGGAGCTCTCCTTGAGGGCTGTGATATTCCCCAACTATAGTAATGATTCAGTTCGTAAACTTGCTCCTGGTGTGGAACCTGCTGCTCTGATCTTTTGAGGTGAATTAATGTTCTGTTTCATGCTGTTCCTGTGAGGTCCATCTGGGCGTTAAGCTGGCATGGAAATGAAAAAACAGAGTGAGACAGGCGTGGCTGTTACAAGTGGAGTCATGTCCACATCTACCTCCTTCAAACCTTTGAGCAGAAGGTCTTGTTTTAACCCCGTGGGAACCTTACTGGCTTTATTTGTAGATGAATGGTGGAAACGTTCCCAATGGATAGCTATTGGCTCCGGGTTGGAGAACGCCTCATTCTCCCCCATTGGGAGGGCGTTTAGATAGTAAACAGCTCACAACTTTCTCCACATCATTCCCAATAGCACTGAGAATAAGTGCTCGAAAGTGCATGACAATGAGCCTGTGCCCAGTTCCCTATCTCAATTATTTCATTCAGATTTATGTTCTTTGGGGAGTAACTGTTCTCGGTTGCTTAAGGTCATTGGTACTCCAAACAGAATTTTTTATTCAATATGAAATTTGTCATTAATATTATTTAAGGAGTAGGAGAAAAGCCTACAGTACTGTATAATGCCCTGCCCAGAACAGGAACTTAATCCAGCAACCAGACCCCACATACCACAGTACTAATAGGGACAAGGATAGGTCAGGATATCAAGGGATATGGGGCAAGTGCAGGTAATTGGCGTTGAGGTACAGATCAGCCATGATTTATAGAATGGCAGAACAGGCTCGAGGGGCTGAATGGCCTATGCCTGTTTCTATGACAACTAAATAGGATTGACCGTTCTGCATACATTGCCCTTCCTACACTTTCAACAGCAATGGTAACAGGAACAAGCTACCTGCATGGCCAGTATAGTGTTCTGCGAGCTCAGTGCAAACTCTCTAAACCAGCTCCGAACTGATGTGTATAATATTACAATTGTTGGCTTTTGCCCAGTCTTCATTCTGCTTGAATCTTGAGCTATAAATATTACCTAACTGGTAATTTACTTGTAAAACTTTACAGATGTCTGGGGTTGTGGTGAGGTACAGGAATTATGTACAACAGTTTAGAAAGCCATCCTGATGATGGTTATAATTAACCCTTTGTTGAAGAGCAATGCACGGTAGACTTATGGCAAGCAGAGGTTTCTGACTGACTGTAAATCTAACTAATGCTACTCGTTTTTCTTTGTTCCCTCTCCGTCTGATAGATTCTAGCTCCGAGAACTGCCGCTCGGTGATCCAGGAGAACGCCACAGCCCTGGGTCTGGCCATGTTCGGGCTTCTTGTGGATCGCTGCATTCAACAGTTGAGAGAAGCTGCGAAAGGTAACTGTATGTACCAGTGCTGTGCTGTAAATCTGGATGCATGTTTCCCCCACTTAGTGTTGGCACAGTTCCGTATTAGTGTTGGCACAGTTCCTTCGAGGTACTGTAAACATGCCACATAAATGCCCTTTTTCGACGGATATATTCCTCTGACCTCGCTGAGTTGGGAGTTCTGTTCTGGGCTTTTATGGGGTATTTCCAAACAAATGTCTACTGTCGTTACACAAAATGATATGTTGGAATGCTGTAATCATACCTTTTACACTGACCCTCAATTTCCACAAGTACTTTCACACTCAGCTGCAGTGTTCTTGGTTCAAAAGTCAGAGCAGAGAGCTGAAGCAATCAGGTTTGTCCAGTTGGTGTCGTGAATGGGAGGATGCAGATTTGCAACGTGAGTTCATACAACATGTTAGTGAGATAAAGGATGAAATGACAGGCTGGGTCACCTGGCTGCACTTTCTGCATCTCCTATAGGCAGTTACCGAGCCTTGGTTGGTTGGTTGTGGAATGTTGCTCGTATAGATTGGCTGCTGCGTTTACCTACACAACATTCTTATATTAAACGGAAGTTTGTTTCATGCACTTATTTTTTATTCATCACCTCTTTTCAATTGAGTCATGAATATAATAATTCTTACATTTGGTTTAGCACCTTCATGTCTAGAGGACAACCCAAAGCGCTTCACAGGAGATACTGTAAAGTGCAGTGACTTTTTTTTAATTTGTATGTGTGTGTGGCCGAACGCAGCAACCAATTTGCGCATAACAATGTCCCACAAACAGTCATGAAGTGAATGAACAATTTATTTAGGGAATTATATGTTTGTTTATCAGCTTGTTATGGTGCTGGTATAACATATTCAACATGGAGTCCAGGATCTAAGGTAATAGCCTACGGATCAGCCATTTCCAAACCTTTGATCCGGTTTAATCTCTGCTGATATTTTGACAGTTCAAGGGAGCAATTTAATCCGTCTGCATCTACAGGAAATTACAGCATTTTATTGATAGCAAAACTTTGTAAAAAGCTTTCTGCAAAGCACATGGCACGTGCCTACTGTTTGTCGAACTTGACTTGGACAATGGAATGTAATCAGTCCCTTGCTCCCTCTCAAAGTTGCTGTCATTGTTCCCTCTGAATGGTTGTGTTTGCAGTGTGAGTGATGTTTTATTGCATTGGTGCGTTTACAGACGTGCCTTAAATCAGTGGCAGTGCATGGAGATGGGTTAGGGTGATTGGGTTGGGTCATTGTGGTTCTTCTGAAGCCCGTCCCCTTGAATGATTGATTGCTTCTGAGGAGCAAATATTTTTCAGATGCCTTGATTTGAAAATGTTAAAGCTTTTGTATCTGAAAGGATCACTTTCCTCTGGAGATAGACTGCTTTCAGGAAAACAATTCCATTCGCTGAATGAATTTGAACTCTCTTCCTTCATGATTTACTGTCGGGTTTTGAATACTCCTGAATTGGTTCCAGAAAGTGTCTGCTTTGCACAGTGCTGCCCCTTTAACCCTCGAAGAACCGCGGTGGTGTTTGTGCCAACTGTTGTATTGTTCTTGCTGTAGGCTGTGGTTTATGGCTTTAGGTTTACTCTGATCAATGCCCAACACCGGCCCTGAAAAGATATAATTGATGCAGCATGTCGAAAAGGGCTCAAGAGGATAGATACCTCCAGTGCTAACTGTTACCTTTAATACTAGGGCTGAAATGGAGTGCTGTTAGTTTGATTGCATTTCTTGTTTTCAAAACTATTTAAAAACCATCATGCACAGAATTATGGATGGTTAGGAATGAGTAATAAGGCGGTAATTCAATCTTTGGATTGAGATGACGTACATAAACTACGAGAACTGCGCTTGTGGTGCATTGTGTCATCTGAACTCTCAATTTAATTACAGCTGTTATTCACTGCAACCATCTGTACACTGCTATAATATATGCGCCATAGCCCAAATAAAATGAAAACCATACTAAACACAGTTGTTGAATTTAGACACCTAGGGCAGTGGATATTGTGATGTTCTCACCTTTGAAGATTGCCACTGCAGTCCCAGGAAGGAAAGGTAAGCCATTCTTGTACAGTTTCAAGACAGAGTTTTTCTGGACTTTGAGCTTCTGATTGTTTTTGCTGGAACAGCGAGTTTTAAAAATCGGAATGCCGAAAAGAAATTCAGTCCGTCCGGCCAGGCGCTGTCGGGCAAAGAATGTAATAGCTACTCTTCTTCCCACCCCTGCCGCCCCTTAATGGCCTACTCACTGCTGCTGTTAATATACTGATAAACACCCTTGGAATGCACCCCAGTTGGCTGAGGGCTTGCTTACAGTGCGGATCTCCTGTGGCTTGTGGCACTGGCTTGTCACCTTCCCACACACACACATATATAAAAAAGACTGACTTCCAAGTTGTCAGGTCACTGCTGATGTCACTTCATAAAGAAAATGATAGATGTATCTATCGTGTGTGTATACATAGTGTGTATTCACAGCGTGCAGTGCCTGACAACAACGTGCATTTATACCGTGCCGTTCACCCAAGTAGCGTCTTTCAGCGCTTATGTCAACAATGATTCCTGCAATTGCACACGGTGGTGACCTGATGCACTGGTAACTCATTATGACAGTATCTCATTTTTTGGATTTGAGACGCCCCGTTACAACATAGAAAACATAGACTTCTATAGCGCAGAAGAGGGCCATTTGGCTCATCAAGCTTGCACCGGCTCACAGAGCTAGGATATCGCTTCAATCCCACAGCCCCACCTTATCCCCAAATCCCCTGCAAGTCCCTCTCTTTCATACAGTCTGTCAGCTTTCCTCTTTAAAGTTACAGTGGACTTCTTGCATCTATGTCCCCCAGTCACTGACTTCCCAACCAGGAGAAATAACATAATAATAATAATCCTTGCATTTGAAATAGCGCCGTATCATGTCTTCGAGACATCTCAGAAGAGTTTCACAGAATATACTGTAAAGTGAATTGACTGTATATTTTGTGGGTAAAACACGGCAGCCAATTGCGCACAGCAGCATCCCCACAAACGGTCGTGGATTGAGTGACCATATGTTTTTTAAGGGATTATTACCCTCAGAAAAGCAATCCCTCTATTTACTCTCACAAAACCCCACATGATTTTTATCCTTGCCTCAATCAATCTCTCTTCATAACCGAGGGTTGCCCTGGATATGGTTCAGTTCATTCATTGCCTGCAACCCTGGAACTGTACAAGAAGGAAGTGCAGTTTAAGCTTACTTTTGACCTTGTCTCGTTTCTTGCCAGGATAGTTCAGGACAAGGCTAGCTGGAATAATCAAGGAAGAAATCTTACCAAAATGTAGTGACAAGCTGGAGGCTGCTTAATGGGCTTAGTCTGAAGGAGATTCACTCTGGAGGTTTCCTCACTGGTTTACCAGAATTAAAATTAATTTGCTTACTAACAGACTGGTCGAGTTACTTGCAAATATTCGTAGATGATTTGTACACCACAGGAAATGAGGGTGACTTTATGTTGTGCTCAATGCAAGGAAGCAGTTCATAGCAGTATTCACTATTACCGTTGCAATTGATGATACACAGATGGCAAAATATTTTTAGCTTTAAAAGCACCCAGTCGTCCAGGTTTAGACTTGTCTAGAACCCAGATCTGTAAGAATGCGCCTCAAAACATTTTCATGACAGCTTTTTTTGAAGAGCTCAAAAAATGTTATAAACTTGTGTGTTTGTGCTAGACTTTTGCAGTATAATGATGTGAGAGATGCCACATTTTATGATTGAAAAAAAAATGCTCTGGAAAACAAGCAAGCCGTTTATTCTGCTGGGGCTTTGTCTGAACCTCTGTGAAGCCCCACTGAGAAATGTTCTTCCTGAACTGTCTGTAAAAAGCACAGAATTATCCCATTTGTTGCAGAAGAAAGAGGATCGATGAAGCAATTAATAGGGGTTAATTGAAGCAATTAGGAAGCAGCAAATGCAATGTAGTGAGTCGTTGAATTCCTGAGTGCGGATAATTCAATCGTTCACTGCGGATGAAAGTTTGGGAGTTGCTCTGTTTAGCGTAACAGGTGGAAACTATTACATCCAGCACCTTACCATTCATAACCCCAACCATGTTGATGGTTTCATGTTGTTGCTTGCACCCTCACTCCAATTTGATAAAGATGTTGCTTTGCAGGTTATCCTGCAGGTTCCTCCATTGCCTCCCTGAGAGGACAGGATTTGGCTGTTCCGGATTTTGTTCAGACTAGATATCGGGGATCCATCCAAGGCGTCTATTTAACTTTTTATATTTATTCATTCTCTCCCCCACCCCTGGCCCCCATACAAGAATGAAATGATACGCTCTAGTTTAACACAGTGTATTCTGTTAAGACCTTTGCGACGTCTCGAAGATGTGATAAGGCACTATATCAAATGCAAGGATTATTATTTTTTAGTATTTGTGTCGTGTGTGGGGAGGGGGGGTGATGAGAGAAACAACATCTATACCATGTGCAGTTTGCAAAACTGTAAATACTGCATGCTTTTACAACTCTGCTAACAAATAATTTCTGTGCTGATTGAGGTGAGATGTCAGTGATAGGGAATTAAATGCTTTTTAACAGTTTTTCATTCTTGGCAGCCAGAGTTTGTCGAGCAGTGCCAGATGAGGTATATTACTGGTTCGATGTCGGGTAAAACTCCCTCTGTGCCAAATCTGTCTTAACCTGTAACACTGAAGAGGCCCACTGCTGGAGTGCGGGTATTCAGTTTCCTGTACCAGCCTTGCTTACGGTCCCTTGAAGTGAGTTGTCCAATTGTTTTCGGATTTGCATTGTGAGTGGACACTTGAGGAGCTGAGTTAGCATTGCCGAAGCTTGTTTCACGTGGAGCTCTCCTCATCAGTTGAGAACATAAGAACAGAAAAAGATCTTTACGCCCAAAAAGTCTTTCTTAATGGATCAACTTCACTTACATGCCTTTTCATCACGTTCCTCAATTTCCTTCTCTTTCCACAAAGGCAT